ACGCCAGGTACTACTACCTACTACTACTACTACTACTACTACTACTACTACACTACTACGCCCATGACCGTCGACTACATCCTGTACACGCCAGGTACTACTACTACTACTACTACTACTACTACTACTACTACTACTACTACTACTACTACTACTACTACTACTACTCCAGGACCGCCATGACCGTCGACTACATCCTGTACACGCCAGGTACTACTACTACTACTACTACTACTACTACTACTACTACTACTACTACCACTACTACTACGGACTGAGGTGACTCGTACTGTACACGCCTACTACTACTACTACCACTACTACTACTACTACTACTACTACTACTGCTACTACTACTACTACTACTACTACTACTACTACTACTACTACTACTACTACTACTACTACTACTACTACTACTACTACTACTACTAACTGCTACTACTCCACTACTGACTACTACTACTGCCGACTACACACTGTATTTTATATTTTATATTTTATACAGATGTAGATTTACAGATGTTCTATTATTATCTAGATCTTTCTCTGAACACCTGACTCCTCCCTCTGTCCAGACTCACCTGTCGGCTCCTCCCCTTCCTCCTCTTCATTTCCTGGTGGGCGGGGCCTGGAGCTGCTCGGGAGGCTCTCATTGGTCGGTCGCTCGGAGCTGGAGGAAGTGAACGGTTTACCCAATCAGAACCACTCGTCCGACCACCTGCCCCTGCTCGCTCGCTTCAGACTGCGCCGGTGACCACGGCGACGGACACGGTGACGGACGCTCGGTCTCCACGGCGACGGACGCTTCTGGTCTCACTGCTCAGGTGACTTCTGTACAGGAGGTTTTGACCAATCACAGTTTGTTGAAGAGAAACAGGAAGTGACATCACTGAAGTTTGAACGTCTTCATCAGAGACGCCCATATAAGGAGATCGTGTTTTTGTTTCCATGTGATGATCATGTGATCATGTGATCATGTGATCACTGAAACCTCAAAATGTCTCCTACAAAAAACGATGGAGAAAAAACTTAATGGCGCCGATTTCTTGTTAAAGAAACGTCCAAACCCTGAGTCGCTTCAGTGACTCAAGTTTTATTTCTTCTGCGTTGATTCAGCAACTTGAGACGATTTAAACTCAAAATAAATTATTCAAAATGGTTTGTATTAAATCTGTTGTGCAGAGTTTTATGATCGATGTTGAATCTGAACGTGAATGTTTTTATTCAGATTTTTAATTTCCATATTTGGACGTTTATTGACGTTTTTTATGAAGAGCGTTTTTTTCTTCTGTCACATCAGAATCATGTGGAAGTTCAGACGGTTCAGATCTGAGAAGCTCTGACGGACTCAAGTTTGCTGCTAAAACATTTGTTCTGATTTAGAATTTGTGCCAGTTTTCAAAGTGTCTCTTCTTCAGTCCATTTCTCTGTTCTTCTCTGTTCTTCTCTGTTCTTCTGTTTTTCTCTGTTTTTTAGCTCAGGGTTTTCCAAACTGTGGCCCGGGGCCCTGGTGCGGCCCTGTCCTCAGTTTTCTTTGGCCCTTGTACTTTTAACTTTTACATCTTCTTCCATTAAAACTGAAATAACTTTGACGGTGACGTGAGACGGAGCCGATGTTCAGGCTCTGACACTGAAGACACTTTAAACCTCCGACAAAAGCTTCGTTTTGGAAAAACTGAGGGAGAAGCTCCTCCTGGACCTTCTGCTCTGAGCTGGACTTTCTCTCAGTCGTTTGAACAGAACGACTCAAACTGTTCACATTAAACAGAATCAGTGAAATAACAAGTTTATTTTTATAATGTTTGAAGCTTTGGTGCAATTATTAAAACTGGGGATTGAACCAGCAGCTTCGTGTTCTCGTTCTTTCTGCCTCTTCTCCAGATCAGACCTCAGACTCCAAACACAAACCGTCTGAAAACAGCAGATGGCGCCAGAGGAACACGAAACGTTCACAAGAGTCGAGTTTTCTCCTGAAACCAAAGGCCGTTCAGTCCCTGTGCCTCTGAGCAAGACACTTCACTTCCCTCTGTGTGTGAGTGTCATCAGTCATCGGTCGAGTGGAGAAAAATAAAAGAACAAACGTATTTTTCTGATGATGTGATTTGTGGAGATCTGATGATGAAGAATCTGATTTTCTTCTGACTCTTCAAACTCGCTCCTCGTGTTCCTCAAGTCTGGATCTGAAAAGACGTCCCACTGACAGAACAGAACCGAGCAGAACCTTTAGAACGTTTCCTGAATGTGTTTAGAACAGAACAAGAATAAGACACAGAGACTAGAAGAACACACGGACCAAATCAGGACTAAACCAGGACTAAACCAGGACTAAACCAGGACTAAAGCAGGACTAAAGCAGGACAGGACTAAACCAGGACTAAAGCAGGACTAGACCGGGCTCACACAGATACAAAGGCACATGGGACTAGAACAGAAAGTTTGAACGTTTAATGTGGAAAATCTCAGGAGTTCGTCTAAAAAAAAAAAAGTTTAATTTTTATTATTGTGACACATACGACCACGTTGTGATGTCACTATTTGTAGCCAGACTGACTGAAGTGAAGCCAATCTGCACTAAAGACACACACACACACACACAACACACACACACACACACACACACAGACACACAGACACGTGTGTGTGTGTCTGTGTGTGTGTGTGTGTGTGTGTGTGTGTGTGTGTGTGTGTGTGTGTGTGCTGTGTGTGTGTGTGTGTGTGTGTGTGTCTGTGTGTGTGTGTGTGTGTGTGTGTGTGTGTGTGTGTGTGTGTGTGTGTGTGTGTGTGTGTCTGTGTGTGTGTCTGTGTGTGTGTGTGTGTGTGTGTGTGTGTGTGTGTGTGTGTGTGTGTGTGTGTGTGTGTGTGTGTGTGTGTGTGTGTGTGTGTGTGTGTGTGTGTGTGTGTGGGGCAGTTATAGGAGCAGAATCCTGAGCCTCGGAAATGATGAAAAATGTGGATTATTATAAATCTGTGCAAACGTAAGAAGATTAAAACGACAGGAGCTGAACGAGCGCGAGAGAAAGAGACGAGGAGAGAAAGAGACGACGAGAGAGAGGAGGAGAGAGGAGAGGAGAGGAGGGGGAGTAATGCCACACTCTGGAACATTCCATCTGCAGCAGGTGATGAACCTCCACCAGAAAAGTGACACAATCCACCTTTATATTTTATTCCAGTGTCACGTGTTCAGCTACAAACAAAAGTGTTTGAATCCTGTTTCTCTTCACACATGCTGACGGTGTGTGTGTGTTTATAATACACACACACACACACACATGCTGACTGTGTGTGTGTGTGTGTATAATACACACACACACACACACACACACACACATGCTATGTGTGTGTGTGTGTTTATAATACACACACACTTTATGTATATTCTAGGGATGTAACAGTAACTGAAATATCGTGATATCGTGTCGGCAAAACTGTCACGATAAATCGAATCACATGTTGGTTTGTTTAAACGCAGGTTTTACAGAAGCAACAGTTAAAAAACATCAGGAACTACATTTCCCATGATTCACTTCAGCACAAACATGAAGAAACATGTTTTGACTTTAATTCTTGGGATTTGACGGAAATGATTCTCACCAAAATGTTGTCTGGGTATTTTAAATGCAAAACGTTTCCTGTTTACAATTCGATTAACCTCAAAATATCACAATAAATATCACAGCGAGAAATGAATGTTGTGATAAAATCGTCCCGTTAGATTTGGACATCGTCACATCCCTCATATTTTCTGTTCTGTACAAACTGGATGTTTTATGTCTATGTTCACTGAATAAAAAGAGCAGGTTCACACAGTGTGAATGTGAGACGAGACACACTTCTCCAGTAAACAGACGCGACACAAACGTACAAACACAAGTTTTATTAAATTCATGCTGCTACAGTCGCTTCCGTCGTCAACAGCATCTTTACATTTACGTCACTTTTCCTCCTGAATCCAAACCAACGAATCCACAAAACAAAACATTCAGAACCTCAAAAAAAATCACTGAACGTTTGTGAAGCACCGACACGTTTACACCGACACGGCCTCAGAGTGCAGCTGACGGGTACACTGCTCCCTACGACTCACTACAGTTAAGATCTGACCGAAAATCTGCCCCGGGTCTGAATTAAGTATCAAATTATTTTGACACAAACTGAAAACTGAAGTAAAAATTTAGAAAATCATTTGTTTCATCAGATTTTGAATTTGTTTTTTATTCTGAATTTTAGTTGATGAAATTATATGTGCACATTTTCAACGTGTTTAAAGTAAATCACCTTTTAAATATTCAGCACAAATATTTTCAGTCCCTCAAATTCAAGAGTCAAAATTCTGAGTGTAAAATTGACTGATCGATGCTTCGTCTTGGAATCTTGGATCTTCGTTGTGAATTTTACACTCTGAATTTTGACTCTTGAATTTGAGGCTTGAAAATTTCTGTATCTGTATTTAAAAGGTGAAGATTTATATTGAATTTGAAACATATTGAAAAAAAAAAAAAAAAAAAAACACTTAAAATTTCAGCAAAATAATTCAAACATGTTTTTTCAGAGTTAAAAAGGTCTCAAAGTGAGAAATAAATTCAAGATCAAATGGAACAAATTATCTTCCATATAAAACTCTGATCAATATTCAGGGACACAGGGACTCTCCACTGAAACGTGAAACTCCGTGAAACCCTCTGAAACCCCATGAAACCTCTGAAACCCCGTGAAAACCTCTGAAACCCCGTGAAAACCTCTGAAACTCTGTGAAAACCAGTGTAATGCCATGCAATCCTGGGAAACCCTGTGAAATCCCCTGAAACCCAGTGAAACCTTCTGTAACCAGCGAAACCCTCTGAAACCCTGAAACCCTCTGAAACCCTCTGAAACCCCGTGAAACCCTCTGAAACTCCGTGAAACCCTGTGACACCAGCAAAACCCCATGAAACCCTCTGAAACCCCGTGAAACTCTCTGAATCTCTGTGAAAACCAGCGAAACCCCATGCAATCCTGTGAAACCCAGTGAAACCTCGTGAAACCCCATGAAACCCGCTGAAACCCTGTGAAACCCTCTGAAACCCAGTGAAACCCCCTGAAACCCCATAAAACTCTACGAAACTCTCAGAAACCCCATGAAACTGAGTGAAACCTCATAAAATCCCAATGAAACCCCTGTGAAACTCCATGAAATCCCCCAAAACCCCGTGAAACCCTCTGAAACTCCGTGATGAAACCCTGTGAAACTCCGTAAAACCCCATGAAACTGAGTGAAACCACATGAAACTCAGTGAAACCCTGTGAAATCCCTTGAAACCCTATGAAAATCTCTGAAACTCTGTGATGAAACCCTCTGAAACCCCTATAACTTGCAAAACCCCCTGAAACGCTGTGAAACTCCATGAAAACCTTCGACACTGAGAAACTGTGAAACCCCGTCACCTGCACTTTGAGTCCGTGAAGGCTTCAACTGAAAAACGTGGAAACACTGAGGATAAAGTGTCGTCGTATTCCGGGGTGTCTCTGCTCAAAGGCACAGGGACAAAACGTGATTGTTCTTTTTTTTTTTCATTCATAAAACTTTGTCATTGTCGTAAAATCTCTTTGGCTCCAGAGATTCACAAATCAAACCTCCTGAAAACCTCCTGAATCACACAAACCTGATCCTGTGAGCTTCAACTGACTCTGATGTCACTTCCTCCTCAACAAACAGACCTGGACTTTTGTTTTATTCTCCCAACGCTCTGCTCCACCTTGTGATGTCATCGAGTGGTCGTTTTCAGTTTGAGAGACGAGCTCCAGGTGTTTGTGACGAGGAAACGACGTCAGATCAGATCAAATGGAGCGATGTGAAAAAAGTCGTATCTTGAAACTAAATTTCTCACGTGGATCATTTTGTGGCTCTAAAACATTTTCAGGTTTAAACTTCACACGCTTCGCTTTTTGTAGAAATCACCGAAAACTGTACATTTGATTTTTAAATAATGGTTTTCGTCAGACATGCTTCAAACTCCACACGGCAGAAAGCACCAAAAACAAACCAACAAAAAACAAAACCATAAAAATCACAAATGATTCAGTCAATTCATTTAAAAAAAAAAAGAAAATGAAGATTGGACTTTCTCAAAACAGTGTTATTGTTGTGTTCAGTCATTCAAATTTCAAAATAAAATGCTGCTTATAATTCAGGCTGCAAAAGAGGCACAAAATTTCCAGAAACTTTTAAGAAAATTGGGAATTGTAGCTTGGAATTTTGAGGAATTTTCAATAAAAAAAGAGAGAAATCTGTTTTGAGGCTGTGACTCTGAAAACTGATATTTACTCCTATAAAAACACGACCTTCAGGAGGATTTATTTCTATATATTTACGTTCATTTCCAAATTTTCTAACTTTAAAAATTCCCTAAATTTTGTCCAAACTCCACAGAGACATTGTGTTTAGAGCAAAAAATAAATTAAAATTAAAATTAAAAAGAACATTGGACCTTCTCAAAACAGCATTATTGTGTTCAGTCATTCAAATTTCAAAATAAAATAATTCATAATTCGGGCCACAAAAGGGCAGAAAATTTCCAAAAATTTGGGAACTGTAACTTGAAAATGAAAATAAAGGGAATTAAAAAAATAATAATAAAAATAAAATGTAATATTTTAGCGGTGAGAACAGTTTTGACTCTTAAAACTGATATTTACTCCTATAAAAACACAAACTTCAGGAGGATTCATTAGTATATATTTAATTCTATATATTTCTGTTCATTTCCAAATTTTCTAACTTTGAAAATTCTCAAAATTTTACCCTAGAAATGTTGTGTTTGGAGCAAAAAATAAATAAATAAAATAGAGAACACTGGACCTTCTCAAAACCGTATTATTGTGTTCAGACATTCAAATTTTAAAATAAAATCATTCATAATTCATAATTTGATCTGCCAAAGGGCAGAAAATTTCCAGAAAATTTTGGAATTATAACTTGGAAATTAAGGGAATATAAAAATAAATAAATTAAAAAGATGAAAAGAGATATAAAGTGTAATATTTTAGCAGTGAGAACAGTTTTGATTCTGAAAACTGATATTTACTCCTATAAAAACACAAACTTCTGGAGGATTCATTTCCCGTTAATTTCCAGATTTTCTAACTTTGAAATTTCCCTAAAATTCCCTAAACTTTGCACCTCGGAGACGTGGTGTTCGAAGAGCGAAGGCAAAAAGAACATTACAATCAAAACCTCTGAACATTCAAACCAAACGTCACAAAATCATGAAAATCTGTGAAAAAAAAACAACATGGTGGATTTTTGTTGCTACGTCGACGTTTCGAGTTCGTCAAACGTCCCAAACTCCGTCGAAATGTTCAGTTTGTTTTTGCATCAAGAAAAATGTAAATATCGAAAAAACGTCTCTCGTCCGTTTCGATAATCGTCCACAGATTCGCTGATATGTTTCCGTGATATGAAAATCCTTGTCCGTCCAAAAGTTCATAACATTTTTTGTTTTCAGTTCAAATCGACTCTGCGCACGGCGGCGCGCTAACGAGCTCACCGCGTCTCCACGCTAACGGTCGCTTTGATTCAAAACCTAAAATATTAAATAAACAACAACGATTAAAATCCAAATTAATGAAAGTAAAAACGACTCTGATATGTGTGTGTGTTTTAAATATGCTGGTAGAACATTTCAGTTTGTGATGTCGTTTTAATGTGTATTATTTTAGCATTAGCGTTAGCATTAGCGTTAGCATTAGCAGACTGAGCTAAATCCACAGGTGCAGTACCGACGCTCACAGTGAGGGGGCGCCGTTGTGCACAGAGTCGGTTTCATCTTCTTGAGCTCGTCGCTTCAGAAAAAATGGCAGTTTCATTTCATTTTGTACTTTTGCTGAAACTGAAAAATCCCCAAAACTTAAAAAAACCAAAACAAAACAAAAAACAAAACCAGAACCCGGCGGCGTTCACAGACGACCGCGACGGACATTCTGAATTCAGTTTAAGAAGTAAAGCTGTGATACGTAACATTTCTGACACATTTCTGCTCGTCTCCACCGGGATTTTATCGTTTTCCCTGGAATTTTCCGCGTTCGAGCTTTAAACGTGACGGTACAGGGTGATGTTGCAGAGGCGTCACTCACTGTAAATGTTTGTCAAAAAAGCTCTGACTGAAATTTCAAAGTTCAAAAAAATAAATAAATAAAATTATCGTCAATTCTTCAAACAAAACATGAAAAACTGAAATTGTGTTTTTTTTTCTCCCAAATGTAAAAATAAATAATAATAAAATTCAGAGTTTTCTTTGGGGAGACGCAGATTCATTTAATAATGTAACAGAGTTTAATGCTGCACTGTGGAACTTTCCAGGTAAAACAACAACAGACTGGAGACAAACAGAAAACACAAAAGAACATTTCAGTCGTAAATCCACGGATCTGCTGGTTTCAAAAATATCCAAAAGAGGAAAGAGAAATACTTTTTTGTTGTGTCAGAAAATCGAACAAAACTAAAAAACAGATTGAAATTCAAATTAAAATGTTGAAAAATCCTTTTGTTTTTCCACCGACTTCATTAAAACACTTTGAATCCTCGTCGTTCGTTTTTCCGTTGTACAAACCTGGTGGACGTTCGTGGTTTTACAGTTTGACGTCGTCGTGTTCGCGGGAGATTTTACGGTTAAATTCTCGTCGTTCGGTCTGAAAATGGAAGACTTGGATCCTCAGTCCTGGTTTGAACCGCGAGCTGCATAGAGACGAGAAAAAACGAGAAAAACAAGAATCGCCGAGAAAAAACAAAAATCACACGTTTAGACAAAAAGAAAACCAACCGGACGTGTGTTTGTGTTTTGTGTTTGTGACGTTTCTTTCTTCAAAATAATCTTGTTCAAGTAGAAGTGCACAGTAATGGTCCAGGAAAATACTCGAGTAAAAGTAACAAGTGTTTGGGAAAAGTTCTACTCGAGTAAAAGTAACTGAAAGAGAAACATGTGAGTGAAAATTTGAACAAAAAAAACCTGAAACACGTCACAAAATCTGGAGTTTTCACAAAGACAAAAATGAGTCAAACTGAAACGTAAAAGTTCAGGTCGTTTCAGATTTTGTCACAGAAACTTTTGTCACTTTTGACTCACAGTAAAAATATTGAAATGAAAAAACAAAACTGTGTGTGGGTGGTTTGAGAATCTGTGTGTCCTTTTTCAAAATAAAACCAAAAATAAGAAAAAAAAAAAAAAAAAAAAAAAGATTTTCTTTTAAAACCAAAATTTAAAAAAAATAGATCACGATTATTTTTTTTAGTTTTCAATTTTGTGTTAAAATGAAAAATGGAAAAAACGGATCATGGACTGAACCAGGACTAAACCAGGTCTCACTCCTGGTCTGCTCCCGGTCTCAGTACCGGTCTCAGTCCTAGGCTGGTCTTGGTCTGGTTCCGGTCTGAGTCCTGGTCTCAGTCCTGATCACCCGACGGTCTACGTGGGTGCACCTCCAGGTCCGTCCCGACGCTCAGTCCTGATTTAGTCCTGGTTTAGAACTGAGACCAGGACCAGACCGGGACTGAGACCAGGATTGAGACCAGGATTGAGACCAGGACTGAGACCAGGACTGAGATTGGTTTAATCCTGGTTTAGACCTGGTTCAGTACTGGGATCAGTCCTGGTTTTAGTCCTGGTTTAGTCCGTCATCCATTTTTTATTTATACAAAAAATCGAAAAATGAAAAAATGAATCGTTCTGTTTTTTTACATTTTTGTTTTGGAGACAAATAATGAAGAAAATTGTTTTTTTCTTCTTCTTCTTTTTGGTTTTATTTTGAAAAACAAACGAATAAACGACCTGTGGGTTTTTCTGATGTCAGGTGCAGTTTTATATTTGAGGCGTGAGATTTCAAGCTTTAGAACGATTCTGAAGGCCTCATCAACACATCACACTCATCCTCCTCTTTCTTTTTTCTTCTTCTTCTTCTCTGTCGTCTTTGTGTTTTAAATATTCCCGTCGTCTTCAGACTCGTCGTTCGTCTTCAGTTTAAACTAAATCCTCGTTCTGTTTTTGTCCCAGAAACTCGGAGCCAGAAAAAGAAAAACGTCAGAGTAAAATCCAGAGTTGTGCTGTTTGTGTTTTTGTGTCTTGGCGTTTCGTTTTTGTGCCGACGTTTGGTGGAGATTTAAAACTTTATACGTTTATTTTTTTTTCTCGTTTATTTCATTTCGTTTTGTTCCCTTCAGTCGTCGTTCGTTTTGTTTAAAATGTGTTTTATTCCAAAAGTTAAATCCGTATTTGGTATCCGTCACTGAGAGTGCTGAGCTCGGCAGGTTTACGCTCCACAGACGCCGGCCTGGAACACACAAACACACGTGTGTCAGGTCCCTCCTCCCACTGTGTGTCAGGTCCCTCCTCCCACTGTGTGTCAGGTCCCTCCTCCCACTGTGTGTGTCAGGTCCCTCCTCCCACTGTGTGTCAGGTCCCTCCTCCCACTGTGTGTGTCAGGTCCCTCCTCCCACTGTGTGTGTCAGGTCCCTCCTGTGTGTGTGTTCAGGTCCCTCCTGTGTGTGTGTCAGGTCCCTCCTCCCACTGTGTGTGTCAGGTCCCTCCTCCCACTGTGTGTGTCAGGTCCCTCCTCCCACTGTGTGTGTCAGGTCCCTCCCGTGTGTGTCAGGTCCCTCCTCCCACTGTGTGTGTCAGGTCCCTCCTCCCACTGTGTGTGTCAGGTCCCTCCTCCCACTGTGTGTCAGGTCCCTCCTCCCACTGTGTGTGTCAGGTCCCTCCTCCCACTGTGTGTCAGGTCCCTCCTCCCACTGTGTGTCAGGTCCCTCCTCCCACTGTGTGTGTCAGGTCCCTCCTCCCACTGTGTGTGTCAGGTCCCTCCGTGTGTGTGTCAGGTCCCTCCTCCCACTGTGTGTGTCAGGTCCCTCCTCCCACTGTGTGTGTCAGTCCCTGTGTGTTGTGTGTCCCCTCTGTGTGTGTCAGTCCCGTGTGTGTGTCAGGTCCCTCTGTGTGTGTGTCAGTGTGTGTGTGGTCAGGTCCCTCTGTGTGTGTGTCAGTCAGGGTCCCTCTGTGTGTGTGTCAGGTCCCTCTGTGTGTGTGGTGTGTGTGTGTCAGGTCCCTCTGTGTGTGTGTGTGTGTCAGGTCCCTCCAGGTCTCCTGTGTGTGTGTGTCAGGTCCCTCTGTGTGTGTGTCAGGTCCCTCTGTGTGTGTGTCAGGTCCCTGTGTGTGTCAGGTCCCTCAGGTCCCTCTGAGGTCCCTCTGTGTGTGTCAGGTCCCTCTGTGTGTGTCAGGTCCCTCTGTGTGTGTGTGTCAGGTCTCTGTGTGTGTGTCAGGTCCGTCTGTGTGTGTGTCAGGTCCCTCTGTGTGTGTGTCAGGTCCCTCTGTGTGTGTGTCAGGTCCCTCCCTGTGTGTGTCAGGTCCCTCTGTGTGTGTGTGCAGATTTAGCTCAAACTCGACTTTAATCCTCTCAACTCCACTTCTCTTCTCTGTTTTTCTCCTCCATCCATCTTTCCTCCTCTCACTCCCTCCCAGTGGTGTAGTCCTTTTTTAGTCCTGGTTTAGTCCTGGTTCAGACCTGGTTTAGTCCTGGTTCAGTCCTGGTTTAGTCCTGGTTCAGTCCTGGTTTAGTCCTGGTTCAGTCCTGGTTTAGTCCTGGTTCCTGGTTCAGTCCTGGTTTAGTCCTGGTTTAGTCCTGGTTTAGTCCTGTTCTGGTTTAGTCCTGGTTAGTCCTGGTTTAGTCCTGGTTATTTTCGGTTCTGGTTTAACATTTAAGTTGTAGTTATTTTATATTTGTTCTTGTTGGGAAAAGTGTGTGAACAGTGAAACCCCCAGACCCCCCCCCCCATGTGCCCTGTGTGTGTGTGTGTGTGTGTGTGTGTGTGTGTGTGTGTGTGTGTGTCTGTGTGTGTGTGTTTCTTTAGTTTTATTTTCTCTTTTGTGTTTCTTAAACAGCTGGAGTGTGCAGCAGATTACAGCCCTGTCACACTTCACAGAGAGAGAGTGTGTGTGTCTGTGTGTGTGTGTGTGTGTGTGTGTCTGTGTGTCTGTGTGTGTGTGTGTCTGTGTGTGTGTGTGTGTGTGTGTGTGTGTGTGTGTGTGTGTGTGTGTGTATTTGCAGTTTAAGTCCATGTGAGGGGTGATAACAGTAATTCTCTTCGATGGAGCTGTTAGTGCTGCTCTACAAACACACAACACACACACACACACACACACACACAGAGACACAGTTGTGTGTAGTTGTGTGTGTAGTTGTCTGTGTAGTAGTTGTGTGTAGTTGTGTGTGTAGTTGTGTGTGTAGTAGTTGTGTGTAGTGTGTGTGTAGTGTGTAGTTGTGTGTGTGTGTAGTTGTGTGTAGTTGTGTGTAGTTGTGTGTGTAGTTGTGTGTGTAGTTGTGTGTAGTTGTGTGTAGTTGTGTGTAGTTGTGTGTAGTTGTGTGTGTAGTTGTGTGTAGTTGTGTGTAGTTGTGTGTAGTTGTGTGTAGTTGTGTGTAGTTGTGTGTGTAGTTGTGTGTGTTGTGTGTAGTTGTGTGTGTAGTTGTGTGTAGTTGTGTGTGTAGTTGTGTGTGTAGTTGTGTGTAGTTGTGTGTAGTTGTGTGTAGTGTGTGTAGTTGTGTGTAGTTGTGTGTAGTTGTGTGTTGTGTAGTTGTGTGTTGTGTGTAGTTGTGTGTGTGTAGTTGTGTGTGTGTGTAGTTGTGTGTGTAGTTGTGTGTGTGTTGTGTGTAGTTGTGTAGTTGTGTGTAGTAGTTGTGTGTGTAGTTGTGTGTAGTTGTGTGTAGTTGTGTGTAGTTGTGTGTAGTTGTGTGTGTTGTGTGTAGTTGTGTGTGTAGTTGTGTGTAGTTGTTGTGTGTAGTTGTGTGTAGTTGTGTGTAGTTGTGTGTTGTTGTGTAGTTGTGTGTTGTGTGTGTAGTTGTGTGTAGTTGTGTGTAGTTGTGTGTAGTTGTGTGTGTAGTTGTGTGTGTGTAGTTGTGTGTGTAGTTGTGTGTGTGTAGTTGTGTGTAGTTGTGTGTAGTAGTAGTTGTGTGTAGTTGTGTGTAGTTGTGTGTAGTTGTGTGTGTAGTTGTGTGTGTAGTTGTGTGTAGTGTGTGTAGTTGTGTAGTTGTGTGTGTAGTTGTGTGTGTAGTTGTGTGTAGTTGTGTGTGTAGTTGTGTGTAGTTGTGTGTGTGTGTAGTTGTGTGTAGTTGTGTGTAGTTGTGTGTGTTGTGTGTGTGTGTGTAGTGTGTAGTTGTGTGTAGTTGTGTGTAGTTGTGTGTAGTTGTGTGTGTAGTTGTGTGTGTTGTGTGAGTTGTGTGTAGTTGTGTGTGTAGTTGTGTGTGTGTTGTAGTTGTGTGTAGTTGTGTGTAGTTGTGTGTAGTTGTGTGTGTGTAGTTGTGTGTGTAGTTGTGTGTGTAGTTGTGTGTGTGTAGTTGTGTGTGTAGTGTGTGTGTAGTTGTGTGTAGTTGTGTGTAGTTGTGTGTGTGTAGTTGTGTGTAGTTGTGTGTGTAGTTGTGTGTGTAGTTGTGTGTAGTTGTGTGTGTAGTTGTGTGTGTAGTTGTGTGTGTAGTTGTGTGTGTAGTTGTGTGTGTAGTTGTGTGTAGTTGTGTGTAGTTGTGTGTGTAGTTGTGTGTAGTTGTGTGTAGTTGTGTGTAGTTGTGTAGTTGTGTGTAGTTGTGTGTAGTTGTGTGTGTAGTTGTGTGTGTTGTAGTTGTGTGTGTGTGTAGTTGTGTGTGTAGTTGTGTGTAGTTGTGTGTAGTTGTGTGTAGTTGTGTGTAGTTGTGTGTAGTTGTGTGTAGTTGTGTGTGTAGTTGTGTGTAGTTGTGTGTAGTTGTGTGTAGTTGTGTGTGTAGTTGTGTGTGTGTGTAGTTGTGTGTAGTTGTGTGTAGTTGTGTGTGTAGTTGTGTGTAGTTGTGTGTAGTTGTGTAGTTGTGTGTGTAGTTGTGTGTAGTTGTGTGTAGTTGTGTGTGTTGTGTGTAGTTGTGTGTGTGTGTAGTTGTGTGTGTAGTTGTGTGTAGTAGTTGTGTGTGTAGTTGTGTGTGTTGTGTAGTTGTGTGTGTAGTTGTGTGTAGTTGTGTGTAGTTGTGTGTGTAGTTGTGTGTGTAGTTGTGTGTAGTTGTGTGTAGTTGTGTGTGTAGTTGTGTGTGTTGTGTGTGTAGTTGTGTGTAGTTGTGTGTTGTGTGTGTAGTTGTGTGTAGTTGTGTGTTGTGTGTAGTTGTGTGTAGTTGTGTGTAGTGTGTAGTTGTGTGTGTGTAGTTTGTGTGTAGTTGTGTGTAGTTGTGTGTGTAGTTGTGTGTGTAGTTGTGTGTAGTTGTGTGTGTTGTGTGTGTAGTTGTGTGTAGTTGTGTGTTGTTGTGTGTAGTTGTGTGTGTGTGTGTAGTTGTGTGTGTAGTTGTGTGTAGTTGTGTGTAGTTGTGTGTGTAGTTGTGTGTAGTTGTGTGTAGTTGTGTAGTTGTGTGTAGTTGTGTGTAGTTGTGTGTAGTTGTGTGTGTAGTTGTGTGTAGTAGTTGTGTGTGTGTGTAGTTGTGTGTAGTTGTGTGTAGTTGTGTGTGTAGTTGTGTGTAGTTGTGTGTGTAGTTGTGTGTGTAGTTGTGTGTAGTTGTGTGTGTAGTTGTGTGTGTAGTTGTGTGTGTAGTTGTGTGTGTGTGTGTAGTTGTGTGTGTAGTTGTGTGTGTAGTTGTGTGTAGTTGTGTGTGTGTAGTTGTGTGTAGTTGTGTGTAGTGTGTAGTTGTGTGTAGTTGTGTGTAGTTGTGTGTAGTTGTGTGTAGTTGTGTGTGTAGTTGTGTGTGTAGTTGTGTGTGTGTAGTTGTGTGTAGTTGTGTGTAGTTGTGTGTGTAGTTGTGTGTAGTTGTGTGTAGTTGTAGTTGTGTGTGTAGTTGTGTGTAGTTGTGTGTAGTTGTGTGTAGTTGTGTGTGTAGTTGTGTGTTGTGTGAGTTGTGTGTGTAGTTGTGTGTAGTAGTTGTGTGTAGTAGTTGTGTGTAGTGTGTAGTTGTGTGTGTAGTTTGTGTGTGTAGTTGTGTGTTGTGTAGTTGTGTGTAGTTGTGTGTAGTTGTGTGTGTAGTTGTGTGTAGTTGTGTGTAGTTGTGTGTAGTTGTGTGTGTAGTTGTGTGTAGTTGTGTGTGTAGTGTGTGTAGTTGTGTGTAGTTGTGTGTGTAGTTGTGTGTAGTTGTGTGTGTTGTTGTGTAGTTGTAGAGTTGTGTGTGTTGTGTGTGTAGTTGTGTGTTGTTGTGTGTAGTTGTGTGTAGTGTAGTTGTGTGTGTAGTTGTGTGTGTAGTTGTGTGTTAGTGTGTGTGTAGTTGTGTGTGTAGTTGTGTGTGTAGTTGTGTGTGTGTGTAGTTGTGTGTGTAGTTGTGTGTAGTTGTGTGTAGTTGTGTGTAGTTGTGTGTAGTTTGTGTACACGTACGATTTGTCCCTCCTGATGCTCCGTCGTTGGGGGCTGGTGCTTTGTCGTCGCCGTGGAGACAGAGACTTTCCTCGACATCGTTCTTTAACGGGCGACTGAGCGCTCGACGACTTCAGGATCTGCACACACACAACAAAGGCACACATGAACACACAACACACACACACGAACACACACACACACACACACACACACACACACACATGAACACACAACACACACACACACACACACACGAACACACAAAACACACACACACAACAAACACACACACAAACACATGAACACACACAACACACAAACACACACACACACACACACACAACAAACACACACACATGAACACACAACACACACACACACATGACACACACAACAAACACACACACACAACACATGAACACACACACACACACAAACACACACACACACACACATGACACACACACACACACATGAACACACAACACACACACACACACAACACACATGAACACACAACACAACACACACACAACACATGAACACACACACACACACACACACACACACACACACACACACAACACAATGAACACACACACACACACACAAACACACACACACACACACAAAGGCACACATGAACACACAACACACACACACACAAACACACATGAACACACAACACAACACAACAAACACACACCCACAATGATTTTACTTTTATTTTCCTCTCATTTTCCCTCCGTTCTCGTCGTCGTGTGTCGTGTTTTTGTCGACTTTATCGTCCGACAGACTCAGATTTGTTTTCATGAGTCTGTGTTTCTTTCTTGTTCACTTGAGTCACAGATGAGAGTTTGAGTCTGAGTCTCTGTTCAGTCTGCAGGTTTAAAGCTCAACTCAGATTTTTGTGTGAAATCTGATGTTTTTTCAGCTCGTTCACATTTCCAGTTAAATGTGACTTGTATGTGACTCCAGTGTGAACATTAAACGGTCCAAAAGTGTCCCACATGTGACACTGGAGACACGACGACGTCAACCGCAGCGAGCGTCTCTGTGTTTACACAAGTTGAACAAACATGGACGCAGCATCGAGCACCTGGAGATTTTAAAGTTCCTCTCGTACCGGAGCCACAACATGAACAACTGACTTGTTTTAAGGAGGAGATTGAGAAGGAGAAGGAGCAGGTTTTTGGTGGTGGTGTTTTGTGGTGAGTGGAGATGTGCTTCACTTCAGTCACATGGATCATGAACAGTTTTCTCTACTTCAGTGCAGAATAGTGACGTTTGTGTCTTGTTGATGACGTGTAGGTGGATGAATGTGACCTGACTGTTCACACTCAAGTCACATGTTAAAGATCAGATATGGATCAGTTTCAGGAGCACAGATCCAAGTGTCCTGGTCACATGTGAAAACATCACATCTGTGTGGTTCAGACATGAAAAGATCAGATACAGAAACATGGAGACAAAACATCTGATTTGGAAACTTCAGGTGCAGTGTGAACGCAGCCTGAATGTTCGAGTTCTGTTTCTGTGTCTGTGTTTCTGCAGTTTGTTTCTTAGACCAGCAGGTGGCGCTGTAGACGCACCAACACAGAGCTGGAACCTTGAACCAAACGTTTCCCTGTAACCGTGAGTCGAGTGTAAAACCTGGAGGAACATCTACAGACACGTTCAGACTGTTTCTCCTCAGACCTTCCGACACCTGGAGCCTCCTGCCCGTTTAAACCTGAGTCCACTCAGACATCAGGCCCCCAGCGCCCACAGCGCCCACAGCGCACACAGCGCACACAGCGCCCACAGCGCCCACAGCGCCCACAGCGCCCACAGCGCCCACAGCGCCCACAGCGCCCACAGCGCCCCCTACTGACTCTCAACTCCACATTCACTCCAGCAGAACCACAGACACGTGACCCTCAGAGCTCCACAGATGTTCCTCTTGGTTGTGGATTCCTCTGGAGACATTTTAAACTGTCCTCACTCAACAATGACCCCCTCCTCCCTCTCTCCCTCCAGTCATCTGTTCTCTCAAACACAAAACACTCTGTTCCACCTCGTGATGTCATCATGTGGTGATACAGGAAGTGCTCCACTGTGTTTTTAAACTCCACACACCTTCACTAGAATCACCTGGATCAGTTCAGTCCTGGAGTTTATTAATCGATCTCGACTGAACTAAAGAGAAAAGGAACGGACATTAAAAAAACTACCAAAAAAAACTCCAACTTCATGACATCACAAGGTGGAGCAGAGCGTTTGGAGTAGAGCCCGACCGATATATCGGCTAATATGGGCAACTGGAGACATATCGGCTATCGGCCGATATGTTTGCTGATAGGGGCCGATATTTCCCGTGGGCAGGTTACACCTCGTTATAAATCTTAGACTCTCTACATTCTGTTCATTTAATCCAATTTACAGACAAATAAATGTCCTCATATGTGGCTCCACATCAGGATTTATTTGCGGAGTCATTTGTCTGTGTCGTGTGTACTGTCCCTGAACACAGAGTCACGTCACACGTGTGTTTGTTTACACCTGCAGACACAGATCCAAACACTGAGATTATTTTCTTTTTCGGACAATCAGTTTGAGTCTGGATTAAAAGGACATTTATTAGTTCAGACTTGTGATGTGGGAGGAGCTTGTGGAGGAGCCTGTGTGATGTGGGAGGAGCCTGTGTGGAGGAGGGGAGCCTGTGTGATGTGGGAGGAGCCTGTGTGAGCGGTGAGTGTTGGAAATACATCGACTTTGAAGCTAGTTTAGGTTTTGTTAGCGGTTAGCTGCTGTAGCTCCCGCACATAAACAGGCTGTTTTCTATTGGTCTATTGTAAAGTGACTGTATTGTCCGTATATTTGTTACTGGACCAGCATTGATATGTAAATGAGCTGTGAATAGACGTGTGAATGATCCACATTTATGCATATAATTAATTACCGCGGTGCGCAGCATTTACGGCTAAAGGCTAATAGCGGTAGTTTACTAGCAGGAGTTATGGGTCGGTCGCGATTGAAGCAACGGGAGCAGTGTTTTCTCTTTTTCTCACTTTTTCTCTTCATGTCGCATGTCGACCCGTAGTTTGACAGCAGCAGCAGCTGAAAATGAAACTTTCAGAAATCTGCGTGTGCATAGGATAAAAAAAGTGCATATTTGGCTGCAGTTCAGCATAAAATGAATAAACCAGGACTAAACTTGGGCTTAAGTGAGAGAGATAGAAACCGAGTCCCGACACTCAGTCCTGGTTCAGTTCTGGTTTAGTCCTGCTTGCAACAAAACAATCTCAAGAGTCGCTTGGGAGCCGAAAGAGCCAGTTGCTTTAGTGAGCCGAGCCAAAAGAGCCGCTCTCCAAAAAAAAAACAAAAAAAAACTGGAATCTCCATCACTAGTAGGTAGAATGTGATGCAAAAATGCCATTAGGCCAATTTACTGTCTGTAAATATGATGTAAAGAGTCAGAAGAACAATAAATGTTTCCTAAATAAACCCAATTTAGAATCCACCAGAACCAAACCGAATTTTTACATCACTAAATATATCGGCAGCTTCAACCATCATTATATCGGTTTCATATCGGCCACAACAAAATCCATATCGGTCGGGCTCTAGTTTGGAGCTTTGCAGACGTAGACAGACTCAGAATAAAGATTTACTCAGACAAACACGAGTCCAGTTCTGTTCTTCAGGAGGAACAGTGTTCGAACAGGTTTAAATCTCACAGATTCACGTCGGGAGCCAAAGGACATTTAAATGTTTGTGTTTTGGTTTTGTTCAAAGTTAAAAGGAGCTCGTCCGGGTCTCGTCCGGGTCCAGATCCAGCGCCACTGGACCCAAAACACAAAACACACACACAAAACACACACAACACACAAAACACACAACACACACACACACACACAAACACACAAACACAACACACACACACACACACACACACACACACAAAACACACACAACACACAAAACACACAACACACACACACACACACCCAGGATGAGCTGGATGTGGCTCAGGTGACGTCAGTGGAAACAGAAACAGAAACAGGGAGTTTGCAGGAAACAACAGTTTGATTTCACACAGACTCTGACTCTGTGAAATTTAAACCAAAATGAAAATGAATAAAAAACTCTGAGGTGGAGACGAGTTTGTTTCATTCACACGAGTTTGGTTTTTTTGTGATGAAGAAACGACGTCAGAACAAACAGAATAAAACAGAGTGACACAGACTTTAACAACTCATCAAGTGTTCACGACAACTCTAAACTCTAAACACTCTAAACACTCTAAACACTCTAAACACTCTGAACACTCTAAACACTCTGAAACACTCTAAACACTCTAAACACTCTGAAACACTCTAAACACTCTAAACACTCTAAACACTCTAAACACTCTGAACGCTCTAAACGCTCTAAACACTCTAAACACTCTGAACGCTCTAAACGCTCTGAACGCTCTGAACTCTGAAACGCTCTGAAACAACTCTGAACACTCTGAACTCTAACACTCTAAACACTCTGAACACTCTGAACACTCTAAACACTCTAAACACTCTTCTAAACACGCTCTAAACACTCTGAACGCTCTGAACGCTCTGAAACGCTAAACGCTGAACGCTCTAAACGCTCTAACGCTCTGAACGCTCTGAACGCTCTGAAACACTCTAAACACTCTGAAACGCTCTGAACACTCTGAACGCTCTGAACACAAACACTCTGAAACACTCTAAACGCTCTGAACGCTCTGAACGCTCTGAACGCTCTGAACAACGCTCTGAACTCTGAAACACTCTAAACGCTCTAAACACTCTAACACGCTCTGAACGCTCTGAACGCTCTGAACGCTCTAAACGCTCTAAACTCTGAACGCTCTGAACACTCTGAAACGCTCTGAACGCTCTGAACGCTCTGACTCTGAAACGCTCTAAACGCTCTAAACGCTCTGAACGCTCTGAACGCTCTGAAACGCTCTGAAAAACGCTCTGAACGCTCTAAAACGCTAACTCTAAACGCTCTGAACGCTCTGAACTCTGAAACGCTCTGAACGCTCTGAACGCTCTAAACGCTCTGAACGCTCTAAAACGCTCTCTGAACGCTCTGAACGCTCTGAACGCTCTAAACGCTCTAAACTCTCTGA